TTATTATTTAAACATATTAAAAAGTTTTACGCTCATTATTAATAAAGATTGAAACTAAATATTTTTTTGTTTCGAAGTTGAAATCAAGGCATATTCACTACTAAAAGTCAGTTAAAAATTTTCCATATTATTCGTTATTTCTTATTTTATTTTTTGGTCAAATTCCAAATTTTCTCTTAAACCGTATACTTTTTTTAGTATAGATAGTATTTATTTACCTCATGACATGCTGCAAAACCTAATTAATTACGAATTTCTAATTTTATGTACTCCTGTCTCCGATTGTACCTCCCAAACATCCTTAATCGAACTCTCATTTGAACAAAACGTAACGTTTTCAAAAACTTTAAGTTGCATTTATTAGATTTTAATAAGATGGGTAGTTCATAATTTATATTAAAAAATAGCTGAAAGTAATTTGAGGAATTTTACTACTTATAAGGCGTCATATTTTTTTAAAAACTTATTGGTGCAATTTAAAAATGTATAATAATTATTAACTAGGTACTTGAAGCGCGTGATTTATAAACTTAAGTGTAATATTACACTTAAATAATTTCTATACGGAAAAGATAAATTTGAAGGCTCGGAAAAACTACATACACAGAATGAAATTATTATACCTAAAGCAAAAACGCAAATATATTTTAAATTGAGGGAATAATGTCAAATATACCTCTACTAAATATCAATAATGTTCAATTACAAGTTACCTAATATTTTTGGTTCTATTTTTATACTTATTGAATAAGTGGAAAGAAATAAAAGGTACTACATATACACCATAATAATCAATTAGAATTTTAATAATAACTAAATAATTATTTGCTCGCAATAAATTGATGAGCGGATATTAAACCTCGAAGGTCGCAAATAAATTACCAATACTTTTGTCATTCTGTATAGGTAATACGTAGGTACGACGTTAGTATTATGAAATCCTTTGTTCAGTGATGGGTACTTATCGTTATCTTTTATTTTTTGAGTATTTTCTTAAACGCGATTGGTAAATTCTGTCGAAAAAAATACGGAAACAGAAATATGTATAAACGAATGAATTCAAAAATTTGATTTCTAACTTGAAATAGCAATAGCAAAGTACAATGTAACTATAATACATTTTAAGGATCTAATACCTAACAGAACTGTTTCTAAAACATTTATGTGAAAGCTCTAAAGCATTGAAACAATTTTGTTTCAGTTTGAAGACTTGCTTCATTCTTTTGAAAATGGTAATGAATAAAATTGGAAGGTCATAACCAAACTTTAGACCACTGAAATGCTGTATTTTTGAGTGAAAATTGGATTCAACTGCAGATACATCAGAAAAGCAAGAAATTTGTTGTCAAAGTTGAGGGTTTCACTTAAAAAAAGTCATCGCATTAAAAAATTAAATACACCATCAAATCCAAAAGTTGTTTTGATTGAAAAAAGACGATAATAACTGATATTTGCGATCAAATAATTTTTAAAAGGTTTCGAAAATGGCAAATTTGATAGAAATGCCTAAATTCCGAGTCCACAAAATAAGCCGTTAGAAAGCAATGCATGTGTATGATTTATTAAAATCAATGATATCATTGACATCAGCGAAGACGGCATACCCCGCGATATTCGTACTTATTGGGCAATATATCATATCTGTTATCAAATAATAGAGGGGGGAACGCGACGAAGTACGCAAAAAACAGTCTTATTTCAATAATACATAGATATCACCGTGCACCATCACAGCCTAACGGCTAGACGCAAATATTACAAATGCAGCTTTTAGACATTTAGTTTCTCCAACACTGTGAATGAATCGAGTACCTAAGATACCAAAAACACCAAAAAAAATACAAACGAATTTTCCCTATTTTGTCAATTGTCTCAGGTGAGTTTTGGATTTTATGAATAGTACCATTTTGCTTTCAAAATACCAGTGTTGTACCTTGCGATCTTTGCACCGATGCCTATTGAAGGTCCGAATCCCGAATAACCGCAAGGACCCGTCATGGCACACGTTTCTTTCATAAACCACCGGTAAAAGAAACAAAATCGTGTACATTTTACTTAATCTCTATTCACAAACATTTAAACATATATATCTAATCTTTCAGATAGATATTAGCAGGTAGTACCTACGTAGGTACATAGTAGGTGCTTTGCATAATTTATCTGTACACCTGTAGGTACGATACAATACGTAGTAGATATTAGGTATATGTGTTGCGATATTGTTATGATAAGCGAGCGTCTTTTGCGGAAACTCTCCTTTGCTTTTTTCTTTTGTTTGTGCGAATGCTTATGGTGAAATAATAAATTAACGATCAATTTTATCGCGCACTTCGATTCCAAGATGGCGTCCAATATTGCTCGTACTTCTCAATCAATTATTTCACTTCGACGTGCGCGTCACCTTGATCAAATATCGACGCCCTATCCGATGATATCAACTGCTGTTGCCACGTCGAAACTTATTTGTGTACTTAAAAATTCAAATAAGAAAAAAAAGAGAGAAGAACACACTTCACATCTTATCCCGCAGTGTTTCGTCACGCACACACTTCGTCGAACCAAAAAATCAGGTAAGAATCTAATTAACTTATACTGGGGTTGTTTTCTCGGTTAACGAGTTAAATAAATTCTGTGGCGCCTTATTTTTGAGTGCAGTACTACTCTTTTCGGTAGTGGTTCATATCGTACTGTCCTTTTATCCTAAAGTCATGTTTTTTAACTGTTAACATATCATTTACGATTAGGTTGCTATAACCTGCAGAGATAGAGCTGAAAAATCAAATAGACAACAGTATCAAACCAGATATAAACTGATATGGGGAAATCTTCCTAAATGGCAAGAATTATACTATCATAAAACGCATAGGTACATTCTAATAGTTTTAAATACATTTTTGCCATTTTATTAATGTATCAGGTAGGTGTAGGTACCTGCTATTATGTTGATAATAAGCCTTGAGAAAAGTGTTACTTGTATTTACTTAGAAAAAATAAACGAATGCCTCTCGTAAGGATTTAAAACGTACGTATTTGTCTTTCGCGCTATTATAAATTAATTTGAAAATATAGCACTCATTTGTCTGTTCATTATTTGCTCAACAATTTAAAACTTTGTTGACGTGATATGTTTGAATACCTTAACGGATTGCGGGCCTGTATTGCGAAACGTCCTAACAAACATGCGTGCCAATCAAAATTCAACCCTTTTATAAGATATTCAGTTCACCTTAATAAACGTTACCGGTTAGGCACATATCAAAATATCATAATTTAGAGACGATTGTTATATACATTCAGGTTAATCAAACATGCCACTTATTTACATAATTTTTGTACCTATTACACACGCTGTCGTACTTGCATGGTTAAATTGAAGGAGTTTGTTGACGTGTGTTTTAAGTATTTCAGCATGAAAATGCGTTAGAGATACTTAATAGGTACCTATTGGGACCGTCACAGTTTTTTTAAATACACCCAACAGTCATCTTGTTCGTTTTGGAGCCAACGACCTGATAATAATCTAGAAATCTACCCCAAAAGAAAATAGTAACGGCGATAATAATGTTTACAAGATACGCGAGCGGTTTTATTGTAGGCTCGATGAGATACTGTATCTTAGAAATTTACACGCCACGTAAAGGTTAAGGACGAGTTAAGATTTCAAATCGTTACTTAGATAGGAACTGGTATCATCAAAATATTTAATATGGAATCCCTCCCGTGACACAATAGATGATGTGAAATTATTATTATTATGCAACTGTCGATTTCTATTATTTGTTCGGCCATTTTCCGCGGTAGAAAAGCAAACAAAATGGCTGTGCCACACCTCGATCACGTGCTTTTCAAACTAAAAATCAACGGTGGCTAGGAATAGACGCCGACTTGATGTTGTGTACATTTGTACCACATAAACGTACCTACCTATGTATGTAAAGATTAAAATTAACTCAGTTTTCTTTATCAGTTACCTGAGAGACTTCTTTAAGGTGTGATGGGCTTATCAGTTTACAAATATAGCGGTTTTTTAAGTGTGATCGTAGTTCGCGCATTTTTTTTTCTTTTATTTCAAATTATTTTTCCGGTAAATCCCATGTGTTACGATGGAGTCAGTGCATTTATGTTATAGATCAAATGAAAAGATTCATGTATTTGTATAAGTGAGAAAGCATCGTCAATTTACTTGATGCAAATAGTTCAAAAAATTACTTGAAAAACTGGGTAAGTCAAACTAATATCTTGACCCATGAGGTTGCCCTTCGTGCAAGGAACGGGCATATAACCCCTTGCCATATTTGAGTATCATCAGGAAAACCGTTTGTGGTCCCCGAAGGGATAAATTATTGCTAACCCATTAAAAATTTTTAGAAAAATGAACTTTATTATTAATGAAAAGAATACAATGTATTTATACACATATCACTTATTGGAAAAATTTGTTTGTTCTTAAGTAAGATTGTGTTATTGGCTGTTTTGTAGTCAATAATCACTACATAGTATAAAACAAAGTCTCTTTCCCGCTGTCTGACNAGGTTGCCCTTCGTGCAAGGAACGGGCATATAACCCCTTGCCATATTTGAGTATCATCAGGAAAACCGTTTGTGGTCCCCGAAGGGATAAATTATTGCTAACCCATTAAAAATTTTTAGAAAAATGAACTTTATTATTAATGAAAGAAGTACAAAATTGAATGAGAAAAAAAAGTTTTTTCATTTTACGGAGAGTATTTTCAAACGGAGGTGCCTCATCGAGCCCCCTAAGGTAGATTTAATTGTAAGTTTATACATGTAATAGGTTTGCCCCTTAAGACCTACATGAAAAACCTATAAGGCAATCTTCATTTTAGTATCACCCCTTTTTTTGGTAGGATTTTCATGATGAATCTACGGGGAAATCCTAATATGGGCATGCCCGTTATAGCCACATGAGGCTCGCACGCTACATGGGGTGTGTCCCTTAGAAATGCTAGACGAGAATAAGAGAAAATTGATAGCAGGTTTAAGCTTCAATTTCTAGATATACGATCATCTATGCTTTACAATTATGAAATATATATGAACCAAAAGTTACAGTTTTTGATTTTTCATTGATAATGAGTCATTATTATAAATCAGAAGAAAATTTTGTACTTTCAAGTATTCTTTTAGGGATAATTTTATTATTCGGAAATAAAAATCACCGTCGTGTAGAGACCATATCCGTTGTTCTACATCAATGGTGTACCTACTCATTCGTCAAACATTAGACGTAGTCATATTGGAACAAAAAGCGGAACTGTATTATTCTTTCTGAAAAAGGACAATTGCGGGTGCGTCTGAACCAACAGGAAGGTCCTGTTTAGGCTGTCTCGACGCCGGCGCCAAAAAAAATCCCTCCCTAAAATATGTTTAAAATTACCATTAATTTTATTATTTATTAAGTAAGCAAATGATTAATAAGGAAGCGAAGTGGCTTTAAATATTTAACTATACCTCTACGTACTAATGAGTACCTATTCGTAGTCACCTACGGGTATAGAAAGTGTAATTACTGAATAATAAACAGGAATATTGTGATAATTGGATATCTATCCGGTAGTTTTTATGTGTCGCTTAAGTTTTTAAGTATAGTTAAATGTGCCTATTGTATTCTAATTTTTGGCTAAAATTAAAAAAATCAGTTTCAATTATTCAGAAAAACCGCTGATAAAATGTTGGGACAGAGAGGGGGGGGATGGAGATAAGATAGGAAACGGAAATATCATTTAGACACGTCTAATAGATCGAAAAACATCATCATCCTCGGACGCCACGTGTCGAAGATATGTGTTCCTTTTTCGCACCTACTGTGGCTACGTGTTGTTTAGTCAACGTAAACTTCCTAACGTTTCGTAAGAAACGATGACGTCCTCAATTTATTTGGTTAACTGTACACTGGCGCACGTCTTAGACAAATATAATAGATGTCTAATACATATGTATGTATAAAGAGCGTTGTTGACCCCATCGCCTAAGTTTTTCAACTCAATATATGCAGTCATAAGTTCTGGAACTTATTATTTACATAAAAAATGTTACGATTGTTTTTCTTTAATAAGAATAAAAAACAGCGAAACACGTTTTAAAAATTAACAATAATAATTGCGATCCGTAACGGTTTGGATTCTACACCATAGTTGATAGATACTGGTTGTTTTTTTGAGACTTTGGTTTTGGTGCAAATATGCCTACTCATTGTCGAGTAGACCGTTTTTTAAGACAATTCTAACTTTTGCTTTTTAAACAATAGGTACTTGAGCTGGTATCAGTATATACAATGTTATTAATCAAATTGTTTTAGAACGCTTTGTGGCTAACATCTAATCAAAAACTGAGGCAAATAAAAATGTTGAAGGATTTAGAAAATATTTAATTTTTTTTTAAAAATAAGTTTTGTATTGAATGGTACACCAGATACAAAATTAATAAAACGCGTCTATCTTTGAATGTATTATGTGACTTGATAATATCATAATTAAATAATTTAGACAATTGTAACTATCAATATAAACAGCAGAATATATGTAAAGGTACTTTAGATAAAATAAAACATCACCGTAAGCTTTCAATTTTAATAATTATTAATATATATATATTATCGTGAATTAATCAGATTTACTTATTCATACTTAATTTTTATGTAACAACTAGCACTGTCCTTGCACCACAGATAACATAAATTATCTATATTTTAGTTATTATCTGGCCCCCTTTTTCCACATGGTTTGCCATGGGTTTATCATTGGACCCATCCCTAGAGCAACCTAATTTTTTTAACATTTTTGGCGCATTACAAATAAAGTTCTATTCGCCAAGATGTTGGCTAATTAAAATAATTAAAATTAGGCGACCCAAAAACACTATTTTTTAAATAAAAAACCACCTTGCTTAGGGTTCAAAAAAGTCTTATAATTTATTCGCAACCCCATGTAATTATCCGTAGAGGTCATCATCATCATCATCATCATAAGGTCATCAGTCCTAAAACTGTTTCGATACGCACGTCGACTCTTTCCTATCCTGAGCTAATCTTCGCGCTTCCTTAAAAACTATAACAACCCATATCCTTAACTATTTGCGAACAGTAATCTAACATAGATCTACCTCTACCCTTTCTAACACCCGTTTCTGCCACTAATATGTCTTTGACTAGACCGTATAAGTACCTATAAAATTAATTTCTCTGCTGCTTGCTTCATTATTAAATTAATTTCTGAGCTAATATTGCCATCACGTTTTCCGTTTCAAAAACTGATCGATTTCTCTTATCGATGGCAAAATTATCAATTTTCGTTCAGTTTATTTCTGATGACAAGTCGCCAAATGTATCTAAGTGTAAATACTCAAGTCGACTTTATTTGTTTAGGAAATGAAAGTTGCTATCGATAAGAAAGTAAAATAAGCTGTAAGCTGTTTCTATAACATTAATCACTAATCCTTGTAGATTATTACTGCATGATAAAGTTTATCTTACCTACTTATTGTGTGCCCATATTTTTCGGTAAAAATGTAACCCTGACCATAAAAAGATATTGTGTCGTTTGATTTTAAAAAATTCTAAACTCGCGAGCAAACAAATGAATCTAAAATAAATCCCGAAAGAGGTTCAACGGGGAAAAAACGTAACATTTCAACAGCAAACAAAACCGAAAGAGAACAATGGCTAAAACTAAACAAATCCTTCCTCTTTAAGGTCAATGCATTATGCCGCGGTTTAGTTTAAGATCATTTCATTGTTGTTACATTTAAAATGTGGACGTGGAACTTGAGGTATTTCTTTTACTTCAGAACGTTCTTCACACATCACCGCTTCATCACAAGCATTTTGTTAAAAGAAGAAGAAAAATATGGAAAGTAAGACAATACAGGCCAAACAGGCAGTCGTAAAGAGCGATGGCGAAATAAAAAATGAAGAAAATTCAGAAGCAGAGCAGCCTTCCACGGTTATAATCAGGAGACAAGTGATAACATCAGCTGGAACCATTGAAGAAACTTTGGAAAATGCTCCAATAAAAGTCGAAGACGGAAGCAAGAAAACGCTCAATAACGGCGCGACTACAACCAACAACACTAATAATAAAAGTCTAGAAAACGCATCGAAAACGAGCTCGCCGGAAAGGGTGCAACAATCAGAAGACAATAATAACCAACAGCAGCAAAATTTCGAACTCGACCGGCAGCAGCAACAGCAACAACAGCAGTCAAACTCTCAGCAACAGCAGCGATTATTCAACGAACAAAACGTGATAACAACGACAGAACAATATGTGAATAATAACCAAGAATACAGGCAGGTTCCGGAACAAACCATCCAATATACCACCACCGTGGAAGTACCATCGGTTGGTACGATTCAACATATCCAGATCGAAGGAACAACTTACCCAACAGCGGAAGCAGCCGCAGAAGACCCGAAACACGTCGAATATACAAATCTAGAAAGTGTTTCGTCCACCCAGTACCCAAACTCCCAACATTTTCCTGCCGATGGAAACCATCAATACATTTCGCAAGGACAGTACCAGCAACAACAGTACCAAAGCTACACGGTCGCTAGGGAAAACGACGATAGTCCGCCAAATACATTGCTCTACAAGGATGATCCAAATCTAGCCTCATCAAGGATGTACCAGGTAAATACTATTTATGAAGTCTTACATAAATGTAGACAAGTATCAAGAACAGATTAAGTAACGAAAAAATACTTGAGCCATTGTCAGGCACCTGATGCATCTGAAATTACAGTATAAGTAAATAATACTAAGTAAGAGATAAAGTTAGTTTATGACAGTTAAAGTTGTTACCTAAATGTAAGTAGCTACAGCTTTTTAAATATTTTTCCAAAATATTTTGTTTATTATTATTCAACAGAAATAATGTTTAATGACAAAAAGGTGTTCTTTTATTTGTTATAGTTGCTCTTTATGTTTATAAAGGTATCGTTTAAGAGATTGGTAAATATAAAAATCTAAAGCATCATTACAATTTATTTATTTAATTTGTTTTCAATTTGGATTTTTGGAGTATTTTTAAAATTTTCATAAAATGTAATTGAAGTACTATTTTAAAATAATTTTGGGCTCGTGTTGTCGTGTCCTTCAAAGACTTGGGGCCCTTGGCTAGTTGATATGGATTCGATTTTATAGCGTAACTGTATCAAAGAAAACCTTAACAATTATGTCAATTTATTTGAAGATTAACTATTTGAAGGGCTCCTACGAATTACAACCGGCGCAATCGACGAGCAACCAGGTGACCCTAATAGGCCACACGGGTACAAGTTACCAGTATACAGTGCCAGCAAATGCAAGCAATTGGGGTTCGTCGAACAACAATAACACCGAATATGCTTCATACCCTTCATCAAATTCGATAGGAATACATCAATCAGGTGAAAATCTTTCATATCAAAACTATGCATCAAACGCAGCATGGGCTAACATGTCATTAGAAGAAGGGTACGACCCATCCATTCAAGATGTTGATGTTAAAGAATGTGTTAATTGTGGGGCCAGCATAACACCTCTGTGGAGGAGGGATGGCACAGGACATTATCTTTGCAATGCTTGTGGGTTGTATAATAGAATAAATGGGGTGAACAGACCTCCAGTAAGAACCACCAAGAAACTACCAACGGTAAGTAAATAGACTAAATATGATGGGCAAGGGTTTCTTAACGTGAGGTCTATGGACTCCTGGGGAGTCCACGTCGCGAGTGTTGGGGGTTGATGGGCATACTGTCTAACATAATTTACTTGCAACATTAGTTATTGTTATATTTCGTACAATTATATTTGAAAAAACCTGATAGGATTTTTGAGATTTGAAAGTGGTGCATGATAGCAAAAAGATTAAGAAACCCTGCAGTGGGTGCCTAGTTATACTGTAGTAAATACAGAAAAACTGGCTAAAAGATTGCTGAACTACCTTAAATTTGTCGTGAGAGTAATTAGGATTACCAATTGGCAAATTCGTCTCATATAAGTTAGTTTATCGCCGATATATTACGTATTCTCAATAACTATTTTATCTTGAAACCGCGAACATTGTCCAATGTTATCTATCATTGATTTAGGAGTTGCTCAATTACTTCATCACGTTAGCGAGCACTTGAGAAATAATTTTTACAAAACAATGAACAATTGTAATTAAATTTATGTCTGTGATGCGAGCTAAGTATTAAATTTTTTTTAATTCGAAGGTCTTCAAAAAAGTTATAAATAGGATTATAAACTACTTTTTGGCATATTTCTCGGGGAAATGGGACAGGGGCAATTATAAATTGACCTATGTGGGTGTTTGTAAGTGAATGGAATAAATTCAGAATTGTCAGAAATCTTTACATAACCTGGCATAAACTTCAAAGGACTCAACCTAATCCAATCTGTTAACTCTGTAAAATATTACAAATAGATGCATCTATGAAGGCTTAAATAGAATTTGGACTTTACAGAATGGAAACAGAAGGAGTGGAGTGTCCTGTGCGAATTGTAGAACATCTACCACGACCCTTTGGAGAAGAAATAACCAGGGAGAGCCTGTTTGCAACGCATGTGGATTATATTTTAAATTGCATGGGGTAAGAATAATTTTTGTTCCCTTTATTTTTATCATCCTCATCATAGGGTCGTCAGTCCTTAGACTGGTTGGACACGCACCTCCACTCTTTCCTATCCTGAGCTAAACTTCGCATTTCCCTAAAACTAGAACATCCCACATCTTTAACTATTTGCGAACAGTAATCTAATCTAGATCTACATCTACTACTCTTAGCATCTGTTTCTACTTTTAATGCATCTTTAACTAGCCCTTTATACCTGATTATTCATTTTACTTCATTCCAAAGTCCGAAGACTCTTTCTTGTGATGAGTCAATCTTCGTATTTCCTGAAAACTAGAACGTCCTTCATCCCTAACTAAGCCTTTTCGAACAATAATATCATCTAGATCTTCCTCTGCCCTCTTTAACCTTGCTTCTGTTTCTAGTATATCTAGACAACCCTTTATTATATCGCAGATACGTAAATGGAATAAATAAATTGTGGTTGTAATGTGTGATAAAATTGCCATCCGTCAAATGTTCGACGTCACTTATAAATGTTTCAAAAGAAAAAGCCACGGTCCACAAAGGTGCGGCGTAGCCTGTTTACTTTATTTCGAAAATTAGGTCAGAATTCATCATAAATTCAAATATAGCTAGTTATATTATACCTGATGTAGTACTATTGCATTTCTATTTATTATTTCGCATGTTTCTAGCAAGTGAGTAATATTTGCAAGTCATATAAGCACCTACTATAGATACATTTTACGTAATACTCTCAATAATACTCCCCGATGCTTTAAAATTGTTTGTACTGATAATATAATAAATAATACATGGCACCTTATCACACTTTTGGTTCAGTTTATTTAAAGAAAAACTTAAGATTACAGGCAACTGCTTAGATTTTAAGGATTCTCTAACGTAATTGCGCTTAATCAGGAATTAAATTAAATTTTTAGAAACCTATTAAATGGTTTTCACCAATTTCGGAAATTTGCTGGTTTATAAAAGGATAAGTACAATAAAGAACAACACCAATTCAGAAGCATTAGCAAGAAAGATAATTTTAAATTTTTTTTACATGTAATTTTACCTATGTAACTGTGGTTTGTGTGCAATAACGGTAACCAGTTAAAATACCTACCAGATTTTGTAAAATAATTTATAATTAGTTATTTCTCTAATTTGTTCATTGTTTCTGATTTTAAGGTGGACCGACCGCTAAGTATGAGAAAGGAAGGAATTCAAACACGTAAAAGGAAACCAAAAAGTTCTGGATCTAGTCAAAATCACATTTCTTCTTTAGCAGGACCGCGGAACATTACTCTACAAAGAAACATGAGTAAGTATAGTCTTAATTACCCGCTTTTTGCGGTTTTCATAAACGAAAATTTGGTATCTATGTTCCCAGTGCTCCATAATCCTATCTATGCCACTAGTTTAAGTGCAGAACTAGGAACATCACCAGGCGAACAATACCAATTTCCGATCTCGGTAAGTCAAGCAGTTTGCCGCATGCCCCTTCCCAGTGCCGAACTGTTAAGTCGACAAACTATTTCGAAGTAAGTACAAAAAATCGAAGAGAAATATAAATGATTTTGGATTAAAAATGTTTTGAGTTTCCAATCTATTTCTAATCCAAAATTAAGTAATTTTAATGCAAACTATTGGATTCTTTGCAAAATTCGACGATTAGTAACTGAGTAATTAACAATAAAATATTCATCAGAGAACATTTCCTTGTTCTCCTTCTTTCCTTGCTAAAGTGTCGCATCTCAAAACAGGAAAAGAAATTTAATTTTCAAACTTTGTAACGGATCCTACATGTTGTATTAACTTTTCCTAAAGGTAACCAAAATTTTCAGTACGCCATTTCAACTAAACATTAAATAAACTAATACTTTTCATGAAAAAGTTAAAAGATTCTTTGCAAATTCTATGGTAAATTTCCTTTTGAAATTGTTTAAACGAACGTTTAATAACTGAGTAACTGACAATAAAAAATAGCAGTACAAATCTTTAATTGTTAATAACTCGATAATTACGAATTGGATCAAAAAATTTTANTTATTATTAGCGTTGGTTTTTTCTTTTTTCTCTTTGGTAGAATTACCCGGCACTGCCGGGGTACTCGGCACCCTTATTCGATCCGCCAGGTACCAATTCCGAACTGGGTACTCGGCCCATCTCTAATTTAAACGTACTTATACGTACAACAAGGATTTTTCTTATTTTATTGGAAATATAAATTAATTTCTTAATTAGAAATTAGGGCAGGTTTGTACAGTTACCTTGAAAGGGGTCCCCAGTCGGAGCACAAAACGTTAAGAAGAGATTAAAAGAAAGTTTTAACTTGAAATAGTTTCGAGTGGTTTTTGTTATAATCTTGTTCATGTTCTAACAATGCAATAGCTACAGCAATACGTATCAAATAAATGGTAATTAAGGATAAGTAATTGCATTTTAAGTGTCGAACAAGTTATAATTACAAAAGTAATCTTCAGTTAAACGAACTATTGCATTTGCGGTACTTTTTGTCATGAACCTCTGTTTTGTTACCTAAGGAAATTATTGTAATATTTTTTTTGCAAATTAAGGTATTATTTATCTGTTTTACTAATTACATCGTACCATTTGTCTTATAAAATTATTTATTTAATTCCCGTACATAATATCCAAGGAAATTAATCTGTATACTGCGTACTTTAGATATTTTTATAAAGTTTTGTAATTAATTTTCCATTTATGATTGCATCTCCACAGAAATTTATTTCCTGAACGAAGCCAATGCAATTGTCAAGGTAGTGCCGTTTTTACCTGCTTTCGGCATCGACGACCCTAGATAAATTATAAATTGGATGGCTTACCTTATCTACAAACAATTTTAAATACGGTGGACGAATAACAAAGGCAACACTTACATCTGCAAAAAAAGAAAAAAAGTAAGATTAATATTGCAAAAATGTTTGTATTACTAATTTATAAAGAAATGGACATTTTAATTGTGTTCTCACTTTGAACTAAAAATGGCGTCCATTTTTATACAAGAAGATGTGCCGAGCCGACGCGGGTCACTTTCACTTATACATAAAATATGATTGTCTAAAAACGCGTGTAAAAATAGTTATCACAAAATTGTCTAGCCGATTACACCTTGTAATTAATTATATCAGTTATTAAAACGCCGAATTTCACTTTAACAAACCGGTTTGAACACGTTAATTAGCATGTACTACATCAATATCTCGATTACTACAATCGCAGCAATCTCAAACGACCTTCTCCGATCTGATAATTTATGACAGATTCGGTTATTTTCGGAATTGTCTTCGCTCTTGAGTGCTGTTGGTGATGGAACTGTGCTAGCTATAGTCTGTTCAATGAGAGAGTTGTTTAACAAATCTACGGCAATCACAAATCATAATTACCTCTGATATTTGACGTAACATGCAGCAAATATTAGAATTAATTAATAAATGTAGTGTAATGAGGTAATTATTTGATATCTGGTGGAAATAAGATATTTGGATTTATTAATAATTTGTTGAACTAACTATACCTACATTTTTTATACTCGGGTTGGCTTTTTTGCCTGTGCTAAAAATAAACATTACTGCAGTAGAGCTTTATGTACGAATGTGTATCTTTACTTGCGAATGGTTTAGAATTTAATATAATAAATATTCGGAGAGTACATTATAAAGAATGAGGAAAGGTTTTTAACATTTAATAGATATTACGTAATAAGCAAGTACGAAAATTAATTATTTTGATTGATAATTAACTCGCTGACTAATTTAAAAATTTTATGGGAAATATAACATTATATTGATAGGAAAACTGTAATATATTTTAGGCAGATTGTAATAATATACAATTTTTTGTAGTAATATTTGCAGTTTACCTATCAATTTATATATATTACATATCCCATACAGTTTTTAAATTGCAGAGGAATATTTTCACTTACTGTCCAGGATAATTAGATTAAGACTGTATTATATACAATAAATCTTTTCTTTGAAATAATCACAGCCCCACAAAAAATAAAACTTTTTGATTTGGAGGCGAAATTATGTCTACTAAATGTTTTTTGGTTTGCTGAAACTAAATTTGTGGTCTATTTTACTCTATCACGTCAGGTTTCGGACATAATTAATCTAAAAAAAAAACTTATAATCCACGCGTAAAAGCTCTACTGACCGCAAGTAACGGCGCATCCCTTTTAGATACAACCCTCGAAGAAGACAAAAAGAGTAAAATAAATCCTTTGTACAGATTGTAGGTATAAGAAAAGGGAATATAATAGAAAGAAGAATAAGGAAATAGGTTTCTATTTGTTACAAAACACCTTTTTTAAGGAATTATATATGTATAGTCATATAAATATGATGTACCTACAATGTCCGCTCGTCTAACCAACCCGTGGTGTAACCGGGCAACTCTAATGCCTTTGGTCTCACCTTATTTTTCCTATCAAAACAATAACGTTAGGTATTTATCCAATTTAAACCCAGTTTAAGTTTATGGGTCATGGGGTTTAGGGGTGGGATATACTTTGTTATAGAGTTTGTATCTATAGGTAAATGGTTTTGGTTTTGGGTTTATTTGAGTTTAATAGAACTTTTGCACTTGTTTTATAGGTTTTTTGGTGTAATTAGGGACTAGTCTCAGTCATCATCATTATCATCATAAGGTCGTCAGTAAACAAAAATATTCATCAGAGTAATCTGATTTATTAGTGTTTAAACGCGAATAAAAGGCAAATAAACCGAGGTGTTGCTTCTGTAAAAACATCTCTTCAGCTGCATAAAATCGTAGCCATTCTTATCATTTGCACGTCCCCATAATTTTGAAAATTTCTGAACCGACCGAAGCCAAAATGTCACTGACACGTTTCGGATAATACTGCATCATAAGTTTTGTGTGATTATAAACCTTTTACATAATATTCAGTTACGCATTTACATGGTACGTTACAACAACTAACTAACAAGGTGTAAAAAGCTATTCTTATCTATGTTTTGCTTATTTTGTAGGTGATCTGTAAAACAATATTTTATACATAGTTGTTTGTCGATAAGAGATGGTCTGCTGCATGCTCCAAATAATTTAATGATTCACTGAAAAACTATTCATTTTGAATTAAATTTTCAGTAGAAAAACGTAACACCTTTTTTGAAGAAGGTAATGACATAATTAGAGAAACGACTTTTTGAAATCAACATAAGCCCATGTGTGAACGCTTGAATAAGAAGATCCTGATGATGGAATATATAACCACCCGCTTGATACGAGATTAAAATTTCAAATATGAAGACACACACACATACAAACCCAAACACATACTCATATACATCATATAAAAACCACAATCACATAATACACAAAAACAATTACGACTGAACAGGACCTTAAGTGGTCCTAGAACGACCTGAGGTAGAAGGGTTTTAGTCGGTAGGTTGGAGGACTTCTTCCTCGGGGATTCCGACACTACCCAGTCGTACGGACGACTGGGTGTCTTTTGAAAATTTCCCCTCTACCACCAAAACAAAAAAAAAGGGTTGCTTCCCAACTCCACATCCAGCATCAGAGATGCTGAAACCTCTGAAGAAGTTCACGACTCGTACTAGCGAAACGTTAGCAACTCCAACCGACGATAGCCTTTAGACTCGAATTAGTTCCATTGGAATTTATGTAATAAACAGTTGAGTACGAGACAATTAAGGAAATGCTCCGTAACTGTTATCACGAAAACTGTATACATCCCTACAAAATGTTAAGCAATATCTTTAGGAGCGTCCCCGGTAATTACAATATTATGGGATGGAACTTGTAATTAATTGATACTTATTAATACAGAGACCTTCTTAATTGCAAAAAACTTAACGAAAATTGAAGCTTAACAAATTTCAAAAGCGGGTTTCGCGTCTTACGCATCGTTGAAGTCTCCAGTTACATATCTATCTTTTCCGCATACCACACATACAATTTCAGATCTTTCGGTAAGTGTTTGTCATCAAGTTCTATAATAAGCACCAATGAGATAGTATAGATCAATTCTACCAGATGTTAGATCATTTCCGATCGTGTTAGATACGGTAAATTCAACTCAAATTCAGGGGCCACTGCCACTCAAAAAAAGGTTCTTCTTTTATTTTAAAACATCTGATTTCTTTTGATATTCGCAATTTCCTCGAGTATTCTAAATTTTCACTTATGTAGGTACAGGATGTGTGCATGTGTCGAGATGAAAAGTGCTGCAGGATGAAGGATCCGGAGGACGGGGGCCGCAGATCTCGCGGGGCGTTCCCAGAGCTTTTTCCGCGGCCAATAAAGCGCCTGATTAAATTCAAGCTCCGCGTTCCACGATTTATAGCCCGACGGTCGATGGCTGGCTGTCTGGCGCGAGGTCTCAGGATCCGTGGCGCCTTATTAGCCGACCGGCGACGCAACCAACTCTCGGCGTGGATGGGGACCGCATCGCAAGCTCAGCGCCTCGCCGGCGGCCAAAACGTCGTCGCAGACCGCCTGCCTCGACCGACACGACATCGTAATGCTTTTAGGGCGAAAGTGCACACGACGATTGATTGAGGTGTTGGAACGCCAACCTGCATAGCTTTGAATTACTCGACTCGGACCGATATAGGGGACGCAGGACTCAAATCACTCGAGTTATCCAGTTATTATTTCTTGATCTACTGGAATCCGACACTTATTTGAAAATATTTGATGCATCAACAGAGTAATGATCAAAATTAGATCTCGTACAGTAGCATAGCTTTGAATTTCTCGACCTGGACAGGGACAGATATCGGGAACGCAGGACTCAAGTCACTGGAGTTATTCAGTTATAATTTTTGATCTACCGGAATCCGATACTTATTTGAAAATATTTGATGCATCAACGCAGTAATAACCGAAGTTAGATCTGGTACAAAAGCATAGCTTTGAATTACTCGACCTGAACCGGGACAGATATCGGGGACGCAGGACTTAAATCACTAGAATTATTCAGTTATTATTTCATAATGTTACGGAATCCGATACTTATTTGAAAATATTTGATGCATCAACATTGTAATAATCAAAGTTAGATCATGTACAGTAGCGTAGCTTTGAATTACTCGACCTGGACAGGGACATACCTATATCGGGCACGCAGGACTCAAATAACTACAGTTACTCAGTTATTATTTCTTCATCTTCCGGAATCCGATACTTATTTGAAAATATTTGATGCATCAGCATGCTAATAATCAAAGTTAAATCTCATACAGTGCATAGCTTTAATTAATCGACCTGGACAGGGACAGATATCGGGGACGCAGGACTCAAGTCACTGGAGTTATTCAGTTATTCTTTCATGATCTACAAAACTCCGATACTTATTTGAAAATATTTGATGCATCAGCTTGGTAATAATCAATGTTAGATGTCGTACAGTAGCATAGCTTTCAATTACTCTACTTTGACACAGGGGCCGATATCGGGGATGCACGACTCAAATGATTCGAGTTATTATATTTCTTGATCTACGGAGTCCGATGCATATTTTAAAATATTTGAAGCACCAGTACGGTTATAATCAAAATTAGGTGCCGTAATAAGTAATATCAGTTAAGTCTAATTAGATCTTCATCTGAAGAGCGCAACTATTTCTTCTTGGCTAAATTGTTCGAAACTAATTTATTTGCTAATCCGGCTATTTTATAAATGAATGCATACATTTTCGGGGATTTCTAAACACTGAAGATAAGGCTCCAAGCACAGGCCTCCAATTAAGTACAAAAAAATAACAAAAAAAAAAACATCAATATCGCCTAGATCTAACTACGCGAAGGGATCATTTTTGGTACTTAATTTTTAGAATAAAAAACTACCTTTTTACAAAAAATAACAAATGTTTTCAAAAAAATTGTGCATGTTGATCAAATCTAAACTTGTGGTATTTTCTATTGCCTTAGAATTTGATACCAAAATTAATGAGCAATATTCAAGGAGCAGTACTGAATATCATTTTAACTACAATTTCATCTAAAGTTCTTCCAACGTGATATTACAAATAGAATGATAATTCATCATTTAGTATCTATATCCGAAAAACCATAATTTTTCTATTTATCTCTTTGTGATTTTATTCATCAGAATTATAAAAAATATTAAGATTTTCTCACTTTTCTAAAAGATTCTAATGGATTATTGATTCGTTGTTAGTAAGGATTACCTGAACCACAACCATTATTGACATCTCTAATAGACATCAGTTTTGGAAATATGCAGAAGGTTTTTTGAGGAATTTTCTAAGTAAGTATAAAACCGATGGTTTATGATGACCTCTACCAATTATCTACTTTATTTAAATAAACTTAAAAAATTTGGATGATTGATTATTATATAGTTTGAAAATGTAAATATACTTTGAATTTTGCTCGATAAAACTACATCTAAATCAATCCATTTGTAGTAAAAGTATTGGAAAAAAGCTAGGACATCCTTCGTCAGATGAACTAAAATCAACCCGTAGAGTGGGCGTCATTGTTTCCAAGCTCTAAATTACCTGATAAGCCTACAGATATACCCTCTAGAATTAATTTGAGTTATTGGTGGAGTTAGTTCACTCACGTGGAAGTATAGGAATCCTTGTTTTCCAATTTGATATAAAACTTAATGATGTCCTGCTAAAAGCTTCTGAAGCTTTCGAAAGCTTTTAATAATAAGTGGCTATAGTTAATGCTTCTTCCAACTGCTTTTTTTAGATCCTTCTAAAATCGAAGACAGAGCACACGCAAAAACAATCGAACTTTATAGGTATAGGAAAGCAATACGCAATAATCAGTTGCGCCACCCCATTCTCCACATGAGGGTCGGACAATTACTATTTTAACTGAAAGTATTAATATGAAATATTATTCTGAAAATTCATTTCTGAATTTTTACCCACTACACACTACCTCAAATTAATTAATTAAAGTATTAGACATTCGTCTAGAAATCGAAACTTTAAAGGAACAGGAAGTGACGACACCTGGAAGATTTTCACCTCAGTATTTGGTGATAAAAGAATTATCTTTGTTTCTCCTTTATCTTACAGTTCCTTTCAACGTCGGTGTATTTTCGTCAAGCAAAAGTCGAATCCTTTCAGTTGACTGATATTTATACATACAATACTTGTATGTAGTTTTGGCCAGACGCGGTACTTTAATATAATTTACATATGTATGTTGTTGCAGTAAGTCAACGAATGGAACCACTCCCTTTGGTAAATAATTGAAACAAGAAAAAAAAAACATGACAAAGTGTAAGCAAAATACAACTTCTTCGAATTTGGATCGAAACGATTTTGGTCGCCGATTAGGAATAAGTAAACAAGCATCTGACAAAAGTTAACAAGGCTTCGATTTCGTGTTTTAAGTTGTGTTAAGACAGTGCGATGGCATCTCCTCACAAGACAGCTACCCGATATCCATTTATTGTCGATTTGCATAAAACTGCGATAAAGCATTAACCGTATCTCAAGGATCGGAGATACTTTTTATTTATCAGGGTCCACTTATGGCCGAAAGACCCATAATTTATAATAAAAATGTATGTATATAAGAGTCCACGACCAAGTTGGGCAAAAGGCATCCATCGAGCAAAAAAGTTGTCACGCTAAAAAGACTCAACATGCAAAAATAACAAGTAGCCACCAGGCAGGCCTAGCAGTCGGCAAGCCAGCCAGCTTAAGTGGCCGACATATCACATCAACCTAAATTTATGATAATGAAATACAATAATGAGGTACCGGGGGATCCAAGGGGGGTGCCCCTCCTTTGTGGAGGCGGAGTCGGACTCTCGGAGGGTCACAGTCTTCAGTCTCAAGCCGTCCACTTCGAAAGCCTGCGTACCGAAACCGCTCTCAAGCATTTTCCTTCACGGTTTTTTACACTGTATATTGAGCTTTCGCCGAGTTTGCGCATTGAGTTTTCTTTTGAGACCCGTCGTTCAATCGTTTCCCTTTTTTTTGTGTTTTTTGTACTTTTGTTTTTAATCATACATGTGGTTATCAGGACTAAAGGCGAAAAGTGATTGTTGGACTTATTAAACTGAAGTAAAGTGTCCAGTTTTCTTGGAGAATTTTCCGGCTTTGACTGACGATTTTTCATTTTGGTAAGTTACAGAAAGCTTTCATAATGAGCTTTATTATCAGAGGAATATCTTTTAATCAAATGGAGAAAGGATTCAATGAAGATTTTTAACTTGGATCTTGACTTAGATTTTTCCGAAGAATTTTCTGACTGATATACAATTTTTCGCTCTGATGAAGCTTAACTGAAATACTTTTCAAGTTCTTTTAATAACAAAGAAAAATTGTTGGCTAGAATTTGATACGACTTATGCCTATACTTTTTTCTCAAGCCTTCAACTTTTGAGTTGAAGTTTGTGTTCAGTTTTCCCGAAGAATTTTCCGACTTTTCCATTACAATCTGATAAAAAAACAAATGCTATTTAAATCCTTTTACACGAAGTAAGAAAGGAATTAATAAAGGAAACTTTTTGGTGATAATTTTCCGGCTTCTTTATACTATTTTGGTGGTATTTATTGCATCTGTAATGCATATTAGGTACTATATGAATCTTCACTTTTCACTTGTGTTTGGTGATGAAAAAGAGGAAAATTAAATCTGATAATATTTGAACTAAAATTAGATATATTCTCACGTAAGCGTAGTCTAATCCTTGAAGGATCCTTTAGTTCCTAGTAACAATTACGCATCAATTCTACTTTTGTGTACTGATTACTCGGAGGATTAATGGAAGATAATTAAAATTTCAGCATTTTTGAGATTAAGATAAAATATCATTTAGTGTTAGAAATACCTCATCCGATTTTGCAAGTAAATTTTTAACACTTGTCATTTAATTGATAATTTCCGACACAGGACGTTAAGTATATGACAAATTGTAATGTTATAAAACTAATTAACTTGTATATCGTTAACATAACGAACATTATGGAAGTATGTAAATACACCTAAGTTATTAATGAAATTATGCAGAGAACTCTCAGTGTGAACCTTAACTAGACATATTAATATTTCTACATCACTGAGTGAGTGATTTATTATGGCTATACACATTGTACCTCCTTTTTGCCTTAAGGAAAATGATATATACTTGTACCTATATTTCTTCCTCTTAATTTATCACATTTTACATATAGGAATTAAGTTATTTTATCATATTATTTTAATTTTATCAATAAATTATCAAGACATTTTATGCAATATTTGGAAAAATATTCAGTGATTTCAGTTGTTAATTTCAGAATAATAATTCAAAGGAATATGATGAGAAAAAACAATAATGCAGAACTCAATCTATCAAAAGTTAATTTTATCTAATACAAAAAAGTAACTGAAAATTAATTTCTTTCAGGACTTCCCCTAAAGTACATCAACAATTATTCGATTGTTTATTGAAACTGTTGATCATCAAATTTAAAATGCCTAGTTATTACTTATCGGCAGAATATTTACGCGGGAGGGTCCTAGGGTTTGATTACTATCTATATTTCTATATACAGATTCCTTTAGGGTCCTAGGGTTAATATCCACTATCGCATTATGTTCTACTATCTAAATTTTTGGAAAATATTCACCAGTGAATCTTTGAATTAAACGCCCTGAAGACTTTCCTAAGGATACGAGTACGTAATTCTATTATTAAAAATAAATTATTATGTAGGTTATGGTTTGATATTTTGAAATGTAAATGGATGGCTAAAATTGATAAAGAAAAGAAAGAATAGAAATATTGAAAATCTTACTTTACTAATACCTTAACTAGAAATTGCAAGCTTTTATCGAATAATTTCCCTGTAGCATACTTGACATTTTCACATAGAACACATTGTAGGATATAAGTGCACTTACCTATGATCAATTAATTAAACAATTCTTTATAAAACATGGAAGAAATATTGTATCCTGAAAGTTTAAACGATTACTTCGGTCGCACCCACGCAATGAAAATGCCATTTATTTTTGATGACGATGACAGAGTTCACTTATTTAACAGATAAACTAATTTTACGAATTAATGTTATTCATTAACATATTCTGCTGTAATGTAACGGTTTGAAATAAATAGCAAAGGTTATACAATAAACCGGTCGGTTTCTGAAACACGAAGATTATCATTTAATATAGTATAGTTTTCGCGGTTTAACTTGTCACAAAAGTCTCAAAAATTGCACAGTCGATTAGTATTAAGGAAAGAATAGTTACAGTCAGACCAGCCAGTAAGAACAGTACCATAAATGCTACTGCTTATCAGTGACATAGGATTTTTAATAAAAAAATTAGACCTTCATTTGCAGGACGATTTTTACACAACAGGATTTATAAAGGATATCATCGACCAGATATGGTTATTATATCGACATTATCATTATTAGACATATCTTCATAATTATTATTCAACTTGCGAACGGTCTGGAGGAATTAAAAAGCCAATAGTGTTAGGGAAACCTTTTTTACAACAGTTAATTTAGGTTTATTGCCTTTGCGTCACGTTAAAGCGCGAGACCAGTATGTTACTAACTTGCCTATTAATTTCCATTGATGGTGATACTGGAAACGTCGAAGTACTGGTTTATTTGAGATTGGCATCGATTTTATTGGTACTATGGGTATTAGCTGTACGTACCTTTTTAGTAAATGGAACTTAAATGATGCGATTTCTTTTTAATTAATAATCTGATAGTTGCTCATTATCGACGAGTCGTGAGCTTTAACCAGGTAATGATCGTAGTTAAACTGTTAATATTAGGCAGTTAAACTTTGTATATATTTTGAATAAAGTGCATTTACACTTGGAGAAATGCTCGCGCTAAGTTTTATGAGATCTAGCGTAATAAGTATAGTCGAAGGCTTATAAGGAACTTTTAGAAAGCTTTCATGGGAATGCAAAAATAATTGCATCAAATCGCGGTTATAACTTTCATTATTCACTTGATGTTGAAACGAAAGCGGAAAATCAAAAAGCACAGGATAAAAGCTCAACCTTTAACCAATAAGACGAACGAAAAATATAAAAGGGTTTAAGAAGGTTTTATACAATATAGCTTAGGTATTATAATTGTCTAGGAGCGGATTTAAATTAATAGGGAGGAATTAGGTACTGGCCTATGCTTTTGTTTTGAGAAATTAAAAAACCATAGATTGGTCCGCCGCTAAAGAATCATCAAATGTTTTCTGAGTTCTCAAAATAATTTTAGAAAGAATATTAGACGGTCTAGTTAATTACTTGTTGTTTTTTTTTCGTTAATTAATTTTCTCTCAATAATAATAATTAATTATTTGTCCATTATCAAGTTCGTATTTCTAAACGATTTCCAGACGGTCGTTATCGTATTCTTCAATTTTGGGTTAATGGAATGAAAACGACCGATTTAATTGGACACAATTTTTTTTCTTTTAATTCCATTTAGAGAGCCAAGCACGATGGTAAAACTTGTTGACTTGATGGTACAAACCTCGTGTTATAACAACAAGACTGCGTTCATTTAAGGACATATTCCAAAAGAAATATAAGTATCTTTCAGTTCAATTGTATTATTTAAATCACAAATTTCTCTATATCACTCTCTAAAAGCTTTTTCGTTCAGTTGGATGTCTGATGATAAATTAGGCTTGAACCTCTTCTTCATCTGCTACCTTTGTCTTCTTCTTCCGCCGTCTCCTTCTTCTTCTAAACGGTTAAACCAACAAGTAAAGATTCTATAGATCATATATTAAAATTTAAACCCAAAAATGTTTGAAATTGGTTTTAATATAGTGCATTTTTGAGAAATACAGTCCTCTGTTTCTTCTATTCACCATCAAATCCATACAATAGTTAAGCCAGCATAAGGCCTCAATTCACCACAGTTAATCTCGCGACGAGATTGATACAATCTCTCAATTTTGTGAAGCTTTGGTTTGATTGTTTTCAATGAAGTACCTGACTACCCCCAAGTAGGTCTAAAGAATTGTGGTAATTTTTTGTGGTTTTCGTGTCGGACCGGGTGATAGGGCTCGCGGTGCCGTCATTAAAATTTCTTCGTAGCGGTGTTTCGGATGGAAATTCCGTGTTATTTGAATGAACGAGCTTTCGGTTATGTCTCATGTCTCAATCGTCCAAGATTTCAAGTTCGGTCCGTCCGGCTTTACTACCACGGCATGGTCGTGCCGACGGACAAGGAACGGACGGTGCGGCGGCCGACTGGATCCAATGTAACAAACACACAAACAACAGCCAGCAATTCCGACATCCCACGAGCGAATAACTTATTAGTAATAAACGAAAGTCTCGGTTTTATTGCCTTCCAATAAAGTCGAAGGAATTTATTTACTCGCACTTTTCATTGCAAAGCCGATACGTTTTTTTGTTTCACTCAAATTAGATTTAACACGTCACGATTTTGATGCAGTTGGTCGAACCTTTTTTAAAACATTTTTTGAATTTTTCCAAATAGAAGGGTTTTTATTATTTTTGGAGTTTACTTATCTGTGTTCTTTGAATCTTTTGTTTAATCAGGAGCCTCCTGGCAAAGGATCAAAATAATTTCGAATCAATTTTGAAATAAAATTAGACTCAAGCGTCATGAGTTCTACTGAAAAACAGTCTTCCCATAAATCCATGGAATTGTAGCTATATTAACTTGCTGAATATATTTTCCGAACTATTAAAAAGTTGTAAGTGATATAAATCATAATATTTTTGATCTTTTGAACATTGATTTAAAATATCTAAAATTGTTGTTTCAAACACCTAAAAATAATTCCTCTATAATTTATACATAATCACTCAGGATTGAATACTTAAATGAAGAAAACTCTGAACTTTCCAGTAAATATTCTTGCCATGACTTATTACTAAAATATGACCATAAAGTTAAGAGTTTTCTTCATATAATTTTTCATTATAAAACCTTGTAATTCAGCGAAAATAACCTATTATAATTATATAAAGCAATGTTTCGATATACGTAAGGATTAAAATGAGAACCAGCAGCAAAAAAGCTTGTATAAAATCTGAATCTACTCTTACAAGAAAAGAACCTAATTTATCTGCTACTTACTTCCTATATATTCATAAAGATACCTAACGAATATGCTAGAGAG